CCTGTCGACGAAATGGCCTGTCGACAAAACAACCTTGTCGAGGAAACGGCTTGTCGACGAAACGGCCTGTCGATGAAGTGGTGTCGATGAAATGGTGTGTCGATGAAGTGATTGTCGATGAAATGAATGCGACCCATGTTGAGGAGGCTTCTGGTTCACCAACTCTCACGATTATCCCTTCAGAGTCTCATCAAAAACTCTTTCATAATCTTTAAGTTAGTCAATTGATTTTAGAGACCTTATCGTGTTCTTTAATATTTTTTCTGTCAAGGTTATATTATCTGCAAGAGGCATGCGTCCTTAAACCATGAAAGGCAAGGCAAACTTAACATTTCTTTTCTAAATTAAATCTAAATGAATCATTTTTATTTTATAAAACGAGCAGAATTTGAGGCAAAAACATATTGTTGAAAGTGTATAAATAAAAGTAATAATCAATTGTTTTGAATTTACATGTTTTTTTAGTTAAAAAAAAGATGCAGAAGCAACAAATGTAGTTGGAAAACAGTATGGCAAAATTTATTTAATTAGAAAATTAATAATACTTGTACCTGGGAAACAGTACAGTTTATTATTTTCCAGTGAAATAATAAATTGTGTTAGGTAAATAATTCATCAACATTCAAAAAATTTTGCTATATCATTAAGAGATTTATCTCTCATATTTCTATCAGAATATGAAAGAATATTGCTGCCCCACAATTCGTAACCTCTCCTTTTATTCAGCTATTAATTTGTAGCTATCCTTTTTGGTATACCCTATTTCTATAAAAATAAGAAAGTTCTTTCAATAATTTCATTTATAAATAAAAATATTTCCGAAATAAAATCGGGTTTCTAAAAGTTCATACTTACATGAAGGAAAAATCACAAAATTTTGTGGAACACGATCAAAAGTTGACAAACAGGACAGATTAAAATTTATTTGTCAGAATATATGAAAAATGACAAGAAACGATCATGTTAAGGCTCCTATACTATCAGAGCTGACCTATCAAGCAATATTGGAGCAAAAAAGTTCACAAGTTAACGTTCTGTTAGTATTGTGCTTATGTTAGCTCTTGGGTGCAAAAATAGAAGTTGAGTCGCCCTGAATTGACGTCATGAGATTTAAGAAGCTGATTGGTTATTGGAGGAAAAATTTGGACCAACCAAGGACTCGGACCAAGTACTGGGCAGATCGTTTACAGGTTTATACGATCCAAGCTCCAAGCAAAACATGTTTTGCTTGGCGTTTTTGTTCAAATGCTCATGTTTTGCTAAAATTTTTGAAATTCAAAACAACGTTTGTTTTGAATTTCAAAAATTTGTCTCTTCTGTGAAATTTTCTAATATATAAAAACATAAATTGTCAACTAATGTAACTGCATGGTCAAGATTATATAATGATTATTTGCAATGGATACAATGATGATAAATACAGATTCCATTGTTTTTTTGAAACCGATCGTACATAATGTGGATGTCAATATGAACTCAAAAGACTATATGATAGTATGTATTTTATTTATAAAAGCAGTAAAATGCATATATGTATGCTATTTTTAAAACAGTGGTTAATTATTATTTATTAAGCATGAAACACACTGAATTATGCATAATTGAACTATGTATATTGATATTTAATCGGCATTAACTGGTAGTAGTTTAAGGAAATAAATTATTAAAAACAGTGCTGGTCGGTTTATTAATCAGACTGTGAAACAATTCTTTTATCTCCAATTGCGAGTAATCATTTTTCTTCAAGGGCTGTGCAGAAATCTTGTTTATATTTTTTCATATCTAAAGGCTTTATAAGCACCTTTAAACTCAAAGGCTTTTCATTTTCATATGCATTGCTTTAGCTTTTTCAATATCATCCAAGTACTTCTCAATATATAATTCAACATTAAAAGTGGATAAGAGAGACTTCATTGCAAAGTCTGCAGTCTGACTCCAATTGGAGTCAGACTACTCACAGAGTTCCATTCTCTGATTGGAAAGTAATACACGAAGTTCCAATTTCCGATTGGAAATCCGTGACTCTGACTCCACAGTCCTGATTATCACACACAGTCAGTATGTCATGAAGTAAGCAAAAATATAACTAGTCATAAACACTGGACTAAAGTTATTTTTTTGAAATTTTCTATTGTGATGTGATTGTTGTTAATAGAAGCTATTTTGTTTTGCTGGTATTTGCTGTAATTTTTTTATGAATGATAAAAAATAACAATGTTGGATGCATGCAGAATTGAGTTGTTCAGTTCAAATGAGTATATTTTCCTCCAGTATTAAGTAAATTTAAATTATTAAAAGCAACCTAAGGAAAAATGTGAGGACATAAAATAACTTATAATATTTAATAACATTAACATATTGGTTATAATAGAAAGACCACGATATAAAGGAAAGAAGGGTTGGATTAGGATTGTAGACCATTTCTTTTGTATTATTTAATAAAATTTTTATGAAACATGGAAGCTTGTTCTTTAGTGGAGTGGATTAATGTTTGCTTGTAAGAAAACACAGTTTTATAATTTATTTGTGCCAAAACTAAGAAATTTAAACGATGTAAGACAGTTTACTCATTGTATTATTCAATATCAATGACTGCAAAATATTGAAGACAATAATTCTCTTGCTAATAGTTTTTGCCGAATTATGCATGGTGCCAAAATAACCTTTACTTAAAATAACTTGAAAATTAGTGTTGGTCAATTGTTGAAAATTATATTGAGTCAGTTATTGCGAGATGGATCTTCTGAAGCTCACACCAAACTCCTTAAATTTTTTAAAACTACATAACCGTTTAAGGGTCAACTTTGTGAACGATTCAGTTCATAGTTTTCATGTGATATCATTATTCTTTATTTGATAATAATTCTTTTATCAATATTTTAAATAATTCTATCAGAAAAACAAACTATAATAATAAAATTTAAACTCTTATAGAATAATTAAATACTATTCACAATTTTTAGAATATTAAGGAACATTCTAACTGAATCCGGTTTGATCATTCTGCTTAAAATGTACTAAGCGATTTCTTAATGTATATTTTATATGTGAATTTCTATTTTGATGAAAAAGTCTCTGTTAAAAATACTGTCAGTGCAGCTTTGAAAATATGTTTTATATTAAAATAAGTTGAATTTCAAAACATTTTAATCCAGCACAAAATCATTTGATTATAAAGAAAGGACAATTTCTTCTCTTAAGCTAAAGACTGAACAAGTTTTTTTTGTCCGAACGGCTTGGTCAGAACACCTAAAAAAACCTTGGTCAGAAACTGGCGAGATCTATAATCTCCTAGTCAGGAACTGATGGTGTCTTAGTCACGAATGGTGTCTTAGATGTGAAAAGCGAGTGGTGCAAAAATGTTCTGAAATAGAAATATCTTTTCTTTTTTAATGTAAAGAGATATTGAAACCTTCATTATAATATTTTTTTTCTTCTTATAGATGTACCCTTTAAATATATATTTACTTAATTATTTTTGATTTAGGCTTATGCTGTTCAAAATGAATTGATCATAGAAAACTTTAAAGTTGAAGGAGAAAAGAGAAGATTTGTATGCGATTTTTCAATTGACTTAATTTTAGTGAGTACAATGTTTTATTTATAGTTTTTTTGTTGTTGATAAAATGAAGTTTCAATAATTATATTTAAATTTAGAAAATTAAGTGTCTTCTAATATTATATTTGTTATCTGGGCTGGCATTGCATCCTTTGCCCCGGAAGAAATAGATTTCTTCTGGGGCAAGGGAAGAAACTAAAAAAATAAAAAAAAAACCCGGAAGAAACTGCACAAAATGACCAATACAATTGTTTAGCAATACGTAATATAAGAATAGTTCAAATTCAAACAAATTTAATTTGGTAACAGTAAGTTTTTAAAAATTATTTTTAAAAAAATTATACTTATTTGTTATTATTTTTTTTATGGAGGATTTTAAAATCTGTATATCAAATTGTTTAGTAATTCATTTGAGTATTTGATTATAAAAAGTTATTATGCTTTTTGTAATTAAGAACTCAATGTGTACTTTTTTATGTCTATAATAAGTATGTGCCTATTAATTCAATGGTATAAATAAAATTTTATTATGTTATTTTAACAGTTCTTTAATTATAAAATTAGGTTTTCCTTAATTCATTAATATAAAATTAGTTATTTTAATTTTTTTACTAAATCAATAAAATAAAATTTCCTGTTTGCATTTAATTAAAAATGATACTTTAAAAAGCTCAAAAATTAATACTTTTTTTTAAACTGGATTGCAATTATAAACTGTTTAAATTTTTTTTACTTTTTTTTGAAAAATAGTTCTTTCCTTTTCTTTGACTTGAGTTGAAAGAAACATATTTCTTATGGGGCAGTTTTTTCCACTGTGGGAGAAAGTTGCAATCCTTGTTGGTTATTGATATTATCATTTATCTCTTATCTTTTTTAGATCTGTTATCTTTTTTTTTTGTTTTTGTGATTTTTGACTGCATTACCGTAATTATTGATAAAAATAAGCTTTTTTGTTTATATTTAATTATTATTATTTTTTCCACTATGGAAGAAAGGTGCTATCCTTGTTGTTTATTGATTTTATCATTTATCTCTTATCTTTTTTTGTGATTTATTGCATTAGCCCAATTATTGATGTTTATTGATTTATAATTATTGATTATCATTATTATGGTTATTATCATTATTATTGATTATTATGGTTAATTATGATTACCAATTATTGATTTATAATCTGTTCAATTTGTAATTTTTTTTTCACTTACGAGTTTTATTTATTATTTTTTTAAATTTATTTTAAATTTTTTGGGGGATTGATTTGTTATATGCTTGGATCGGTTTTTTGGGACTTTTGTATGGCTCTTTTTTAAGCTCTGTTAAATACATAAATTTATATGCTCATTTATGCCTAAAAATGTAATTTTGACAATATTGTGCTGCTCAGAATCGAAAAACAATTTTCTCCAATCTGCTACAAAAACCAAATTTATTCGCTTCAAAACACATTTTTTTCTGCTCAAAAATTGTTATGCTGCAGTTTCATTCTTGCAATTATTTAATTTTCTGAACCATTTTTTTCCCATTATTAAAAAGAAAAGTGACTGCTTTCAGTTTTTTTAATTTCTACTATTAGGCCGGGATAGTCTGGTTGGTAGGGCACTGAGCCCATGTCCAAGAGTTTGTGGACCCTGCCGGCCGAAGACTCCCCGTGTAGTAAATGGTGACTGATGCGCTTTAAATCTGTCAAGTCGCAAAGTCCTCCATGTTCCCATAATAAATCAATACCTCTAGGGGTACTGATCCAGAAGTTTCCTTGTCTTCTGGATTCGTTCAAAATTACAAGGCTGCGGAGTTGAACATTGGTAGCCGTAAGCCCAAAATTGGGTCTGCTGTTCAACGATGGATAAAGTAAAATTCCTACTATTAGTTCACACTCTCGCTATATATTGTACAAATTTTCAATTGTTAATAAAATACTTTTTATTCATCCACTGAAGTTCAAATACATTTTTTAAACTTTTAGTGGATGACATTTGTTGATAATACAGTTTCTTGAATTATGGATTCATTAATTAAATTTAATTAAATAATTTTAGTTTGTTTAGTTTAATTAATGTTTGTTTAGTTTCATTAATTAATTTTAGTAGTCTTATTAATTTCAAATGTGATATGTAATT